AATTTAATTTTCTCATGACTTTTCTGTCCAACTCACTGTTGACTTCCTTGCCTAACCCATTATATGTATTCTTCTTCATCTCTGAAGCAAGAGTTAATATTACTTTTTAATTATTAGTAATTAACATCTTACTTGTCACTAACAAATATACCCAGTATTCAAAGGGAAAAACAGCATTACTTCAAGAATGGAGATATGGTCCAACTTGACAAGTTCCCAAGGGATTACCTGGTACAGTCACTTGTGCTAGCACCAAACCGCATTCAGAGACTGCTGAGGCATTTTTTGACCATCTATTCCCACAATGAACAGCCTTCTCCTTCCTTTTCCAATTAACTTGTTTTATTTACAGTTGATGCTAGTGCATTATTTTCATTGCCAGATCGGCTCAATCCTAAAAGTATAAAGAAAACAAGATTCCTGATCTTTCAGAATAATTATTAGTTACAAGAAACTGGAGAGGACAAATTCCATCAAATGAAGTTTTTATAGAGTATAATTTTCTGTCACTACCCCTATTACAAAAGAAAATCCCTCATACAAAGTTAGCAGGGGCTTAGAGAACAGGCTCACCTTGCTGAAGCGAGCTAGGGTTGTTCCTTGGCATCTCCTCTTCCCAGCACCACTGGGACTGGTTTAGGCATGCAATCTGTGAACGCACACACATATACACAGATATTACGTTACTTCATTTGGGTGTTGGTATCGTTAAAAGAAACTCCGTATGCCATCTGCTGGAAGGAACCTTCCCAGGCAACGGGCGGTACCAAGACATCTGAGTGCACTCTGTCGGCAGCCTGAAGAGGTGACATTTCTCAAGATGTACCTTTACCCTGTTCATGCACCAACTTTCAGCACAGATGCACAGGACACGCAGAAAGTCAGGGTCAGGATAAGTGAAACAAAAGCAGGATGAACAATGTCAGAAAATAAAAGCCTTTGGACCTGTGTCACATGAGAAAGCATGTGACAGTCTAGCAGCAAGAAGTAGCTAATTTTTAAATCCTGCTGCCTGACCTGAACCTCCGACGACTTTTTGTCTCCTTCCATTGCTTTCTTCTAGCTACACACATCACACTGTGCTTACCTGGTCAGTCTGGTGTAACTTTCTAGGAAATGGCACACTAATCTATAATTCACACTTTGTCCTATGAAAAACACTGCATAATCTTCTCTTTAGAGGGTAGAGGAAAGCAAGGCGCAGGATTCATAACTGGATGCTGGAAAATCTGAAAAGAAGCAGGTTCTTTCCAGCAGCTGTGGCAGATCCCATTCAAGATGAGAACCTGATTGGTTTTGGTTAATGATAATTAGTTTCTCTCTGACAATGTCTTCAAATAAATGAAAACAAGTTTCAGAATGCAGGATGAAGAATTATTACTTACTCTCTAACCCCATTCCTTCCCATTTTTTATTTCTTCTCCTGTCTCTAACCTTTGGGATTAATCTACAGGAGAGCACTTTTCTGCCAGCTGTATTTTTCAGGTTATGAACACCATAATCACACTCAGGAGGTGAACTGCATTTTGAAGACATGTTGCTAAGCATTAAGTGAATAATTCTCAATTTGCTTTCAGACTGAAAAACCTCTACAAGTTTGAGGCAGGCAGCTATCCTTGACATTTCACAATAAGCAGATACACAGGAACTCAGCAGCCACTTTTCAGAAGCAATCTTTAGTTTTCTGTGCCCAACACTTAGCACCAACAACTGCCCTTAAAATCGACGTCAGCATTTGGCCTTAACACTTCTGGCAACCTGACTACAAGTAATCGTGGTCTCAGGCACACGACTGAGATAAATCAGCTTGCTAAAATGCCATGCACTGCCACATGTGTTAAGAGTACAGTTTCATATAACCCTAAAGTGGACCCAACTATCTATTGCCATCAAAATAGCTGTTTTGCTCTCTCTTTACACCCCCAGCAACAAAACTCTACTGATGGCCTTGTACTGGATCACAGGTGTCACTTGGATTAGATCTCATTGGCCCAATGGAGAAATACACTCGCGACTAGATTGCCTTGGAATCAAAAAAAAATCTGACTCAGATTGCAAAATTGCAATAACAACATTAAGGAAGGGGAAAATATGCAACTAGAATATAAAATAAGCACAGAAGGTTGAAAGCAGGACTGCTTCTAGAGCAGCTGCCTGTTCTTTTATTAAAATAAAGCATAATGCAAAATGACACCCTTCACCTGTGGCCCACATAGAGAAAAACATATTATATATGCTTCAGTGATCAAAGTTCAGCTGGACAGACTGAGATTCAGCTACAGCACAGTAGCCCATGAACTTGACTCAGGCTATTAGGGCTCTTCAAAGATGGGCAGCCAAAACCCAGCCCACATAAAAGACTTGCTTTGAAAACACATTGTTCAATGCAAGAAATAGAACAACTGTGCAGATGTCAGAAAACTGAGGACCCGCTTCCTCATTCTGCTGCAAGAATCTACCCTTTTATTTCTCCAGAAGCATTATAACTCGTACCTTCATCTTTTGACAGGCCAGTACCTCTACATAAAAGGTCATTGAAGAAAAAAGATAAATTATAAATACATCATGACCAAGCTTACTTGTATGCATCACCTCGACATTGGGGCTCCTGAATTTCCGCTATTGCTTGGAGTTTCCTGTGCTGCTTCCAGACAATCCCCACACCGCTGTGTAGGACTGCGCCTCCCTGCAATTCTTGGCATTCCAGAAAAACTCCAATGCTACTTTCTAGGATTTCCCTCAGTTCCGTAGGAATGCCCCTGCCCCTCCAAATCCTTCTGGATTCCCAGGAAGTCCTTGTGCTGCTTTCTAGGACCACTGCGGATAGCTCCCCTCACCCCTACCCTTTCCAGGGAATCTCATTTTCTATCCAGGATTTCTCTCTCTTCTATTTTGCAATTAATATGATTTTCTTGTATAGCACTAGGAAAAGTACAATGATCTTGTTATTTTTTCCCCTTACACTATTTAAGGCCTCTAGCAAGACATGGGTCTGTGCTTCAGAAACAGTGTAATGAATGTTCAGAACATCATATAATACTGCAAGGTCACTGGTAAAGTGCATTTAAGTCTTCCCAAAATTGACTCTAATGACTTTTATTGTTGTGAAATAATCAATTTCATCGTTTACTCTAAACATACTGTGCTACCCCACTAGAGATAGGCAAGTATTATATTGGTTCCTTAAGGAAAGTTGCTGGAGTCCATTAGTTTATTGATCTTGACATGCAAGACAACAGAAATCTCAAATTTATTTCTTAAAGTTTCAAGATGTCTGCCAGAATGAAAAAAAAATACCCAACCAACCAACCCACCTCCAGAAATTCAACTGCCAGGGACAAGGCCCTTAATTGTCTGGTGAAAATGAGGAAGGACTGAAGCTAGTGGTGTATGTAGAAGTTCATGAGGCCAAGTCAATGACTAGACAAACTCGTAGGATTTATCTGCTATACGTCTTTGAGATCCAATTTAAGCCCTGATTTTTCTAATGAAGAAATCCCTACTACACACACACAGTTACATCCACTTCTTCCTAGAATGTTTCCTGATAATCCAGAACTGCTAGAGGCAGCCTTCTAAAGCTACTGTTAAAATGTATTAGGTAATTAAACATAACTTTTGGTAAAGATTATTTCCATGGTAACTTCATCTCTAATACACACATCTGCAAGCCTAGGTGAGAAATGCAGAACTACATAGTCAATCTAAACTGTTACTCCAAAATACAATATTGTTAAAACAGAAAGGGACAGCATGTTTAACAAACTGTAAAATGTTTTGACTCAAAGTGTTGTAAAGCAGATGGAGCTACAAGTATGGTCTATGAATAGCCACCTACACATGAGAACATACAGAGATAATAAATATACATTATGTATCCCATCAAGTGATTATCTTAACTTTTCTTTCTACTGTAAAATAACACGCAGAAGTTCACTTTTGTGAGTAGAAGCTCACAATAAAGCAGCTTTCCAAGTTTCACATCAAGAAAGATTGAAAATAAATAAATGTAGTCAGCTTGCAATGCTCATTCAAATGTCACACAAGTTCAAGGTCTACTTTTGACCAATATCTAGTTATGTCATCCACATTCCTCTTAAGAGAAGATAAAAGCAGGACTGGGAGGCCTGCCATCTTCATCTGAAGTTTGGGGACTGAGAAAGGACACCTGTTACTTCACCATACACCAGTGACAAAAGTAAAAATCAGTTGGTTTTAAGTAAGATTCCTCCTGGAAGATCACGTGTTCATCCATTACTGCACTTCAAGAAAATTGTTTCTGATAAAGGAGTGTCACAAGTGCACTGCAAGCATTCCACAGGTTCCCCTCTGCGTTCCTCCCTCCCCAAGACCATCCATCTGGCTGACCAACCAGACTATGCCAACCAGATCTAGAACTGTTCCCAAGTGCAGAATGACTTCATTTAGCAGAGGAAAAAGTCAGTTTTCCCAATGAAATCTTTCCAACCTCAGCTCCACAGCAGAGTAGAAACATTAATAAATTTAAATTAAGCACCTACCTTCTCTGCCTTCCCCTTCACAGAAATAAAGGACTTGCAGAAATGGGCAATATTGACTAGAAACATTTACTAATTCCCTTTTTTTCCCTACGAGCTATGAGGTGATCAAAATGAAGTATGTGAATAGGCCAGCAGAGTTCTTAGGGGTTTTACAATGAAATATGCAAACTCTTTGCCAGGAGCTCACAAGTCCAAGACCATCCAACCTGATGGTGAATCTCTTGACTTTTCCTTTAAGCTGGTATGAATTGAAAGCCTCACAAAATTTAGACTGGACTCTTGTATACATACTAGTATCTTCTCCCCCTCACAATCATATTTTCTCTCTTCCATTTGGCTAAAAATCATGGCAAATTGTGTCTATGCACAGCAAAAAAACCCAGGTATAAGACAGAACTGTCAAAGAAAAAAAAATAAAGCTAACAATATTACCTGTTACAGTTTTTCAAAATTTAGGTACATCACCACAGGAGCATACTATCTTTCAAATCATGCTTTATTAGGAAAAAAATCCTTCTTGATAGCATAAATACAGATAACGTGCTCAAGACATTATCATTTTAGGCACTAACTTGATTTCGAATCATAATCTGTATGCTCAAAATAAACAATTTTAATCTTCTTAATAAACAGTGAACTGCTAAAGGTGTTAATTTGCATGATGAGTTCTGAAAACAGCTACCATGTATGACATACTTAAAGTATGACTGAAGTCAAAATGGAGAAGGTGGTATCCATACTTAATATCCCTAACTAGCAGTGGACAATTATCCGGCAAGACAGACTATATTATCTCATTAACACCACAAAGCTAAGGCATTGTGAGACTCTGTGTTCTTGGAATTGTTGCCTATTTTTGACTATTCATATCATCAGTGAAAAAGGTCATATCCAAATTTGCAATTTGGCTTTTAGATCTCAGTCACTGAACCCTCAAAGCTGTTGTTTCTCTTCAACAGAAAGATTAACTTTTGTTTCTTTAGGAGGAAATTCCACTTCAGCTTGCTTCCCAAGCAGCCATGGTATTTTTGTTTACTCAACCAAAGATTCAAGTATAAAAACCTTTTCCAGATGTTAATTTAAGCCAGCTGTGGTAAAATAGCTTTTAATGCCATGTTTAAAGATCTACAATATCCCTCGACCCAGATGAGTTTCCGCTGATAATTCCAAAGACTTTCAGAAGTCCTGTGCAGATGTAAAAATCTACATGCTATTACACATCAATTTAAATTAATTTCTTGCTACAAGCTTCAGAAAATTATTACTTAAATAAGCAGCTACATTCAAAACCAATTGTTTGCAGTTAATCTATTGTTAATAACATTACAAAAGAAACAAACAAACGAACACTAGTTTGGGAATCTTTGGACTAAAATACAGTTTCACAGAATCATAGAATACCAGGTTGGAAGGGACCTCAAGGATCATCTGGTCCAACAGTTTTATATCTTTGAAATTCAAATGAGGGCTCAAAGAGAGAAGTTCTGTATTAAGCTAGGCAGATATATGCTAACATAATGTAATTTTTACTTTGACTATACTCACAGGAAAAGGCCATCATCATCTCATGACCTTTCATCTCATTAAAGATGAATTAAAGAACATGAAAACAAGTTTTCATACACGTAAGCAGGTTATAAAATAACTGACCTAAACCAACTGAACTTAACCAAAACAGACTTTCAAGAAGTCAACCAGATGCTTCTAATATAAAATATACACAGCCCCACGAGTCACAGGCCAGAACAGCTTCACCACTGATACTCTCATAATGCTGAAGAATCCAGCAGGCAGAAGATTCTCCAAGACAGTGTACATATGGCAAGTGACAAACATAATATTTATAAAAAGTACAGATTTTTGGTTTCATGAATAACACAGGAGAGATTTGACCAATACGTTGTACTTTAATCCACAAGCCCATCTGTATGGGCAAGATATTCTTGGTCACCTCCTTCTCCCCAGCCTCACACGTATACATTGAGGGTAGAATTCCAAATATTTCAAGAGTGGTCGCATATCACTTCACATGGTACCTTCCCACCCTCAAGAGACAGAATAGCTTAAAATTCCAGCAGGACAATATAGCTCCAAGACCTCTGTTGAGTATTTTTAGAGGTCAAACAAAATGCATCTTGTCTCCTTTCAGTTCAGAAAGTAGCCCTAAACTAGAATGATTTAGATAGGAAAAACTGAAAATAAAGGACTATGTTTCATGAACAGATTGCTTAAAGAAAAGTCCTTGAAAGACAAACAGGTCTTGCCCAGAACACTGTTTTACAAATGTCCATAAATACAAATAATGTGGAACTGGGATGAGACCAAGAACAGTGTCCACGTTCAGAAAACTAAAAAGGAAAAATGCATGACATCTGCAAATCAACCACATGGAAAAGGTTAAATACCTCTTTGTCAGACTCTAAAACCTAAGTCATCAATCACAAAGAGCAAGTCTCTGTGTCACTGCTGTTTGGCATCCAGCACATACTCTGAAGAACAACATCAAGCAGTTTTGCAAAAGAAACATCAAAAAAAAAAAAGAAACATCAAGCGCCAAAACCAAAACTTACTGAAGAAAAGCAAATCTGCACAGCAATACTTTCTGAGAACACAGTTCCCCCAGGAAAATGCTTTTCTTGGGATGAAAATCCTTTTTTAATAAAACACCCAAAAAGCCTTTATCTGTAGATAAAGATCTTCTATTTCCTCATGTCCCTGTCACGTTAGCTGTTCAGCAATGATCTTCCACAATTCCTGTAGGAGTGGAAAAAATACATACAGGTATTTTCTCAGATCAGTAAGTTGCAACTATCAAAATGTTCAATATGCCCACTTGAACACAAATTTTAGGACACGCCTTTCTACCTCCATCTGTAGAATCTCTACGTAATCTAGAACAACCACCAAATTATCCTTGAGACAAGAGCAACAGAATCGATTTTTTAATTCTTGTAGCATGATTTAAAAAAAATAATATAATTCAAATAACAGTTTAAAATAATTTAATTGGTCTGCATGACCTTCTGCAGTATTTTGACTGATAATCTTGCTCTTTTTCTTAGCCTGTGTTGACAAATGCTTTCAATAATACCAGTAAAAATGCAACTGAAAAAATACTCAATTTACTGAGGAATCAAGATCTCACAAATGCATGTCTTAGACACACCCCCCCCCCCCCCCCTTCTCAATCTGTTGGGACAATGAAGATGAGAAACAAACAACTTTATTTCTGTAGAATATATTAGCATACACTTTGTCTGCTGTAGAAGACTCACATACTCTTCACCATGACATCTTGAATTGTGGCAATACACCTCATGATAAATAAAAAATTTAGGCATTTTAAAAATGCATATATTTCAAAGATAAGTAGCCTTCCACAAAAAGGCTAGGGAATGAGTTTATAGGTTTAGGTATAATCCAGATCACATTTATATACTTGTAAAACTTTAAAAACAAGTTTTACGTGCATGTTTTATGCCTGAAGGTATCAGCATTAATTAAAATAAATCATCCTCATGAAATAACTTGTGGCCCCCATAATCCTGCTATGCATACACACTGAAGAAGACACAGCAATAGTATGTTGACTACAGGAACATCATTTCTTGGTAACAGATTTGCAATCCAATACAAGATTTGCAAGTTCTCTAAAAAGATCTGTTGGATTGCATTGTTCTAGAAGCTAGCAAGCTATTAGCTACCCTGCATGATATTTGTAAGAGCTGACAATTAGAAAAAAAAAATAAAGAGAACCATAAGTGCTTGGTAGGTAATTTGATAACTACCAACATTGTATCCAATATGTTTCTGAATAACAGAAGTTTACAGCTAATCAACTTCTTCATAGATATTAGAACATTATTCCCTGAACCTTGAACTGGGAAAGGAATTACTAAAACTATGAAATTAATGCTCTTCTACAAGCAAATAAATGAAGAGAGATACTGGTCCCATTTTCTAGTCAATCAAAAAAATTGTGTTTTACAAAGTAAAGGAGATTGTTTCTTAACCTTTGAGGAAATGAGTGCAATATAAGCCACTGTAGTGCTACTGATAGAAAAGGGTGTTATCTCAATCTAGTATAGATTACATAAGCATAAACAAGAATCATTTTAAAACAACAAAAAAGCTAAATGGAAATGAATGAAAAGGTAATGGCTATTCTCCTGTTCTTACTTCATGTTAAGTAAACAGCTGAAAACTAATTTTAGATGATTAGCCCAACACATTACATTTATTTTAATGAATGCCACTTACCAACTGCTCAATTCGTTCATAAATGAGAAACTGGCAGAAATCAAGCTTAATGGGCTCCACAGTATATTTCATTTTTCTATCTTGGAGGTTCTCCAAATCATTTAGAGTATTTCTAAAATGACTGTAGGCTTCACATGTAACATCCATATGTCTTAAAGTGAAGTTGAGCCTGGCAAGAGAGAATTTCATTTAAAATGTCTCTCCTATACTGGCATCTTAAATAGCTATGGAACTTTCCTCAACTAATGGAAAATGTGGCTCTTCTCAGTATAATTAACTAACTTCAGCAGCCAAAAAAAAAAGTAACACCCCTCCTATTATTCCTGAAAGCGGACAAGACTTACGATAGCATCAATACCCAGTAACTCTTGCATGAATCTTTCCATTGATTTTAATGCATTTTGCTGCAGAATCATTAGTTTGGCTTGGCTTGGTCTCCTGGACAGCATTTGGCAACAAATCACATGAATAGCTATTGCTTATGTATCTCCAGAGATTTAAGCAAAGTCTATTTATGTATCAGTTTATGAATGGACTGCAACACATGACTACTTGAAAACATTCAGTGATTCCTTGAAAGAAAACACAAGAGGAATTATTATTCAAACGGGAAACATATACCCTAATTCTAAGCCCCTTCATTCCATTTATGACCTCAAAAATATATAGCAAATGTTGTCAAGCATTATAGAATACATCAGCCTAGCCACCTATTTACACAGAGGTTATCTGATGCAAGACAAAGGTAGGACAAGGACAACAAAAGCCAAACTCCTGTGGAAGTCAAATTGTGAACTGATAAAAATTAAGCACATGTAAAAACAAACGCTTGCCCTGAGCATATCCTACAGCCTGGGATCAACTAATACAATGAAAATCAGAAGCCAACCTTCAATCAGATCAGATGTTTCTTCCAAATAAAGAAAGCAAGTGAAGTTTTTAGTGCTTTTTATTTGAAGTTCTCGGTAATACTTACCTCTTTTCTAGTGCCAGGTAAATTGTGCAAGATTTTCTCAAGTTGTGTGTGATTCTGTACAGTGTTCTGAACAAGGCATCTGTCAGGTCATCATCATAGAACACTACAAAAAAAAGATTAAGAGCATAAAGTATGTATATTTAAGTGTATTATTTACTTAAGTCTCACATATGAAATAACAGGCCTTAGTTTGATTATTTGTATCGAACAAGTTCCTATTGTAACTAAATCCCAAAGTATATTTTTAATAGCAACAACCAACCCTGTAATAGTATCCTCTGCTGCTACTTATGTCAGGCTTTCTTTATGATTTGTCTCATATCAATGGGAATCACTTCTGTCAAACAACTTACAGAACCTTGACAAGATTTCTGTCAGCCTGGAAGTAACTTACTGCAAAGCTAAAAAAAGACAGGATATTACAACGTATAGGGCCTCATTTCTTACAAAAATACAAAAAGGGCAATAACTAATATATCATTATAACCGTATCTCCTTGGAAACTGCTTGCAACACTTTTCAATATCATAACTAATCCAATGCTCCTTTATTTGGATATCAAAACAACAATGGTTTTCCTATACAGCCAACCTACCCAGACTGTCATTTTTCAGTCTTTCACATAAGCAAGAGCAGAAAAAAAGAGAATCCAAAGGCACAGACTCTATGGGCAAGTGTAGCATCTGAAACAGTTTTCCACATTATAGAATATGTGTCTAATCACCTATTTGACATTTTCTACATAGAGGGTATCTGCTGCAAGACAAAGGTAGGACAACAAAACTCTTCTGAAAGTCAAATTCATCACTTACTCAAAGAACATAAGCACAAGTAATTTATTTAGTCACAAATAATTACCACACCAAAGGAAAGAAAAAGCTGGTAGTTCTCAACATCTGTTCCCCTATTGCTAATTCAGCATGTAAATACAATTGTTTAAAAAAAAAAAAAAAAAAATGACAGGCAGGAATACTTAAGGCAGAACTTAGACAAATTAGGTAAAGATCTGACCGATTAGATTTTAAAAGCAAACAAGGTACGTTTAAGTTATTACTCATAATGCTCAAATGTTTAAAAGCTTACTGTTTCCATTTTCCTACCATCAGCTGCCATTATCACAGTACAGTGGTCATGCAAATCAGCAATCTCTTCTTCCGACCAGCTATAAGGAACTTCAGGATCTGTAACAAAGAATATGGCTTTGGTGTACATGATTAAAGGTCTCCAATGATTGACAGCTGGTAAAAAGAAGCTTCTTAAATCCTGTGATCATCTGCTACTCAATAAATGGAGCACCCCACCAAAGGCAAATCAAAACCTCCCTCTATTCATTCCCTGAAGTTCCGTACAGTTCTTTGCTTTCTCTGTGTTATGCTCAATCCTCCCAAGGCTGACTGGCAAAAGTAAGTTTTCTTTGACTTTAGAATTTACAACCAATTACTCCCCTGTAGTGAGAGCACAGATTTAACTAGGTTAAAATAAATACTCCTTTAAATAAAAACCGAAATGCATCTCTGTATAAGTTTTTATTAAACTTCCTACTTCATCACACTTTTTAAAATTTAGACTTTGTTAAAATATAGAAACTTTCTCTGAAAGTCTAAAAAATAGAAAGCCACTTCAACTGGCAGTATCAAATATTTTCATTGACCAGAATTTATGGAGATCCAAGAGAGGCTTTTGAATGTGTAAAGGATGTTTCCACTTGCTTAAATAGTTTTTCTATTTTCAAGAAGCATCAGATCCAACTGGTGATATAAAAATCTATAAATTGGGATTCATATAACCTAGTGCTACAATTTTGTGTTGACCTTGCGATCACTAGAAAGAAAGTTTTAGGATCTGCTTGCACTTTAAACGTTACTCAAGTTAGTTGCCTTTATTTTGCTAAAAGGAGCAGAACACATTTCCTTGGCAAATATTTAAAATATAAACCATCCACCACTACATTTGGAACAAGTATTTATACATCTTCAAATCATCACCTCCCCTCCCTACCACCTTTTATATTTTTGTATTCATGCAGTCATAAGCTTCACAATAACATTGCATCAGACAAATCCACAGCACTGTGTCTGGATTCCATTATCACCACGTAACAGACACAGGACCTCTGGACCTTGATCTAAATAAACGACAGACACCACTTGTCTATTCTCCAGTAAACCCTTCCTTACTCATTCACATGACAATGATGCACCCTAAGAAAACTGTGTACTTTCAGCTATTTTTCCAGAGGCATATGTGCTGGAGGACTTACTTCATAAACATCAGAATGAGATTTTCTTGATGGCTCTGAAGGGACAAAAAAGCAAAACAACAACGCTTATCTCAACAACCCTATCTGTAAAGACCCATTATAACCACCTACCAGTGCAGAATTCATCTTTCAGCCAGTCCAGTTCTTTTACTTTAACTTCCCCTCCTGCGGGTGAAGAAAGATCACACATCACAAATGGCCTTTCAGACAGTGTCTAAGCAAAACTGGAGTAACAATCTGTGCTGAAACAAGTGATGAACATCTATTATGAGGACATACAAAACAAGTAAAGTTGAACATCAACTCATGTGCTGCACAAAACCAACTACTCACAAAAGAATAGGATGAACTTAAGGGTCAGAAAGACAACCTGTGTTCTCTTTTACATGTCTCACCTGCAAAATACTTCTCCCTTCCAAAGTTCGACCTCTGCCATTTACACTGTTTATGTGACCCTTGGCACCCGGATATCTGTGATCCTCCCAAGTTACCTCAGTGAAACTCACATAGTGACTGTGTAGGAACTACAGCTGGTCTTAAATGATGGCCAGAGAAAGAGTCTCAGAAGGAAGCTGTCCCATTATGGACCACACATATAGATATCTTGCATCTTTCTTTTTAGAAGAGTCACTTTTAATCAAGACAAAAATTTCATTTTACTTGTGAATATGGGAGGTAGTCAATGACCGTGCTGTTTAGTCCCAAAGTCGTTCATATATAGGCAACTGTACAAACACTGATGTATAGCACTTACTTCCCAGCTTCAGCAGGTGTTTGTTTAATGCAACATTTTGCTCACACATGGCCAGAAGATCTTCACCCACATCTGGAAAAAAACATACAATGATGCTCAAAGTAAGAATGTTTTTCATGGGCCATGCAGGTCCCTGACTTCTCAAAGTAATATTCTAAGTTTCTGTCAAGATGACAAGATTAAGGAAAATTCAGAACAATTCTATCCACTGATGACTTCTTCCCTAATATTCTTCCTGATTTTGCCTTTCAGCCCTAAGCTTCAAGCCACCCCTGAAGAAGTTAGATCCCCATACTACCTATATTAATCTAGGCACACTATCTTGAATTCACAGCAAACCATCTTGCTTTTAAAATGTTGCACTTAAAAGTAGCGTTGCTTTTTCAATCTGGTGAGAAAGTTCTTGTTATTTTTCAGTAAACAACATGACTTTATACACATGAATTAAAAATTATTAACTTAAACTGAACAGATGAGGATGAAAATGCCCTGATGAAAGCACTGCTTCTTGAAGTTTCATGAAAAAATTTAATTGAAAATAACTGATTTACCCGTGCAATAAACTCTCTTGGCAACTGTTCCCATGATAATGCTTGTAATTCCAGTGCCACCTCCAAGCTCTAGCACCAAACAACATCTGAATGTGTCCCGTTTAAACAGGATGTAATCAGCTAGAAGAAAGGCTGCACGCCAGACCTGTGGATAAGAGAAGCAATTAAAACTGAGTAAATTCTGAAGCCCAATCCATGAACAGCAAGATTCTACAAGGCAGAATACATACTTGTTTACCAACATCTTCTAAGGGGGTTGCCATAGTATGTTCTATGAAAATGAAAGCAGAGCAGAAATAATTATGTCAAAATGTTCTTCAAATCAAGTTCCATAGTGGCAAATTTGAAAATCAAGACATGTTTCTTTTTCAGATATAGAACTGAACACTCTTAATTCTATATAATAATGCTAGATAATGCCAAAAACCCCACTCTAAGGAACACCGAGTTTCCCATTGTATACTATTGCCCAAATCACTTCTGGAGAAAACTGGTAAATGTTAAAAATATTTATATCACAGTATTATGTTTGTTTTACTGTCTCCTGTCAGTTAACAGCTTCCCTTCCATTTCTAAAGAAAACCTGGTTTTCTTTTGTTTTGCACAAACATATTTATTCAATTTCTTTTACAAAAACATATTTATTCCATTTCTCTTTGACTGTAAGCCTACTATTTACCTATTTTAACAACATCACTGCAAGTGCATTCTTGCTCTTCATCTTCAAAAGCATCTTCTTTCCCTTTCATCAGAATTACAGGATACACTCTATCCCTCAAAAGACCCTCTGCTTCTAAATCAGAGGCACTTCGAGGTCTTCTGACCACTTCCAAGTCTCCGTCGTCATCCAGCAGAGCTTGTAATCCTTCACTATTTAATTCTCTTTCTTTTTTTTGATTATTCCTGTCCTCGTCACACTGTTCATCTCCACATGCGTACTGATGTTCTCTTTCTGTTATAGCTTCTCTCACATGTTTCTCAGACGCCAAATCTTCTGTGTTCCAAAGGAGTTTGAAATATGACAGGAATACTGCAAGAACACAGAGGAAGGGAAAAAGTTAAGCACCAGGTAAGAAGAGAATCTAGTCATAACTTCCACATGCATGAAATTGCAGTAAGCATCTCATATTAAAAATCTAGAGGACAAAAAATTATGTACAGATTGTGACGGGCAGAGGAAGCAAGTAGCTGATTCAATGTGAATGATAGAGCAAGCTTCAACTTTATTGAAAGAAATCACACCTTATATAAGCACTCTGCAATAATCATGCATACTACTCACAAATCTATTGGATACATGTAAAAAGCTACATTATAATATCCCAGCCCCTTGTGGCATTTCAGGTATGTCACAACATCTTCCCTCTTCTGAACCTGCTTTTCTCCCAGGGCCGTTCCTTTATCATACACAAGGCCATAATGTACCTCAGTTTCTCTCTTTGTTAACATAACAGTCCTTTGTCAGCATAACTGTACCCTGGGTTTTTTTCCTTTGTTTACCTCCGATGGCTGCAATCAGCTCCTGCAGAGACCCATGGCCTTGCTCTCTGCAAGCCGTTCTCCAACAACAGATAATTTGAAATACAGTTCAATTTGCTACAGAAATATTTCTGTCGTTAAGTTCTGTCAGTAGAAATAAATTAAGCACTTTCAGAGTCTACTGGCTGAGTCAACATCTATGCAGTCACAATGCACACTTGCATCTGATTTAGTAACACTTATTTCAACATCTGGCAGAAGTGATGGTTTCTTACATCCTCCAAGAGATCTTCTGTTGAGATAAGCTCTAACCAGGTTGCAAGAAGAATTAATACAAGTTAGAATTTGTTTCTTTCAGTTAAGATTTAATTCCTGTAAGAAACATGTTCTAGTAAAGAGCAAGTAGAATTTTTTAGTAATTTTTTAAATGTTTTAACAGTCTTCAGGAAATCAAGCAGCTTCAAGCCTTGAAAATACCTTAGTATGAATACGAGAAAGCAGAAATGAGCTCACAGGAGACAGCTTGCCAAAGCTGGGCATGTAGACATGTCTTTTTTTTTTTTTTTTTTAAAGTCTTCAAAGTGAATATTTGAAGAGATTAAGTTAATAAGGTCACTGTTCTCAATAAACCAATTAATTAAAAACCTTTTACAACTATCATCCAGTGATGTCAGCATCTATTAAAAATGTTAAGTTATCCAAACGTGGACCATCTGCATCGTCTGAATACAACACATGAGGAAAAGCAAACATTTGTCCATCTACAGCTGATCTCAGGTCTACAGCAGTGCTTACACACTGTGCTTGGCTGAACGGGCTAGTCAGGGAACACGGAATCATGGAATTCAATTCACCTATTCTGGTATGAAATCAGTGTTTGCAGACATCTTGGGCTGGGTACTATTATTCCAAAATCACACACAACGCACTGAGACTTCAGAAAAAGACAGCCAAGTGAAAAAGATCAATACCAGCAGGATTCTAAGAAGAATGTCTTAGAATTATGTTCATTCACACCAAAAGGGAAGAGATAAAGTGCTTGCCACCATTGCTTTCAACAATTTCACAATTTATGGAGTTCTATTCCAGTTTCTTTAGAAAGCAAGATATTCAAAGTTGGCCTTCTGTAAACTGAGAGTTTTCCTCTAGAGAGACCATTTTCAGCTAGATCTAAAAAAAATCATTGCCTATCCTAGCATGAGAAATTTTTAAAGTCATCTACTGTTTGCATGACAACCAGATTAAGCTGATTTGAATAATTAACAAATTAGAGGATGCCATGAATGAACAAAATGCTTTTGTTCTCCAAGTCCATCCTGATCCTCTGCGCGTTCTATGGCATTTCAAAATACGCACAGTAAAACTGACCTAAACCAGCAGACACTAAATCCCCATGACATTCCCTAAAAACCAGCAAAACGACACTGGTAGATTGTCCCTGTATTTGGTAGAGTAAAAGCTGTCATACTACAATCCAATTCTTGTTTTCATAACGGAATTTCCCAGACCAAGTACATTCAGAGTAGCAGCATACACTGTCATTTCATTCTGTTGAAAGGTTTTGCGCATCAAGCAAAATCCCAGCAAACATATATCAAACAGCATGAAGACACAACGCAGCATTAATTACCCGGGTTTGACCTGATCAGGGCCAAAATTATTATCCATTCCTTTGTCAAGCCTACTTTTACCATGTTATACTTTGTCATATGCTAGAACAGCTGTAAAAGTTCTTTTTATGTCACAGCCAGGTTTGAAAACAACTAACACGTCTGTCCCAGTAGGAGCAGTACTTTTCGACAGAACGTTTTGCTAGCAGCTTCAAGGTCAGTCTCCTTGACAACTTTACAGAAACCTATAAGCTGGCAATCAGCGAGAGGCATTTGCCAATTCACTTCCACTACAGCCTTGACTCTTCAAATTATGTCAGTCAAAACCACTGCTATTTTGAGCTTTCTTGGTGACAATTTTTTTGAAACCAAAAAAAACCCCAAAACAAAACTAAAACAAGCTGTTAGGGTCCTCTGGAATAGATGGTAAATCATCACATAAATATTTTATAAAAATTCATAAATTAATCACTGACAATTTTTGTCTTAAACTTAAGTTACACTATTTAAAATCCCTAGCCTCTCACCTTTTGTTTGTATGCAAGAAACATCCCAACTTTTTAAACATGATTCCTAAAGTGCTATATCGAGCTATATATAGCTAAATGAAAAATAAATAGAATTAAACTTGCAAGCAACTTAATTTGGTTACTTCTTCTCAGAAAGTAATTAGGCTGTCTATAAATTCTACATTAATAGTTTTCATTTCTGTAGTCAACTTCCTGAGGAGAATCCAGCCAGCCCTCTTCCTAAAGACTGAGTAGGAAGTGATTGTGCTTCTAACTGGAATAAAATATTTAATGATTAATATCAACCATTGAAAGGAGAATTCAGATATTACAAAGATAGGAATACATTTAAAATACAGCTCCATCAGTCTAAACATACATTACCTGGCTGTCCAACTGCATTCAGTCGTACCATGAGGTGTCTTTTGTTCGGACAGTATAAGTGAACATCAGAAAGTACAGTGTCACTTTTAAATGTGGGTTTATCCATCTCCTCCTCTGTAACATCTACCATGATGTGTTGGGGAGAGGAACATCTGTAGTAGCCAAGCAGTCCCCCATGAAGTGCTGTCACAAGTGATCTGATACTCTTCTATTAACAGGCATCAAGTAACAGTCTTGCTTAGCAAGACAACCTCATGACATAGAGTCTGAGAAGACCTCAGGCAAGATGTGGCCATACAAGCTCCACCACGCTCCAATAAGACAGCAAGTTGCACATCAGGATATCTAACCTAAAACCAAACACAGACAGCTTTTAGTGACATCCTGACACTGAACAGTGCTCCAGCAGTATTTTAGAAGATAAAAATCAGATTATGCTGAAAGTTGCAATGCTCCACTGCTCTCTTACAATGCTTCAAAGAGTCATCAAATACCTAACTGCTAGTAGCTCACTGGCAGACATCCCATATTTTAGAAAGAGCTACTACTTAGCTTGTGCTAAAAACACCCCTCCCCCCCCCAAAAAAAACAAACCCAACCAAACAAAAAAACCAAAACAAACAAACAAAAAAAACCAAACAAAAAAACCCAAACCAACCCAACAGATGTTACCACAAATGCACAGATCTACAATGCTAAATCAAGGTCTACAAATGAACATAAGGCCTTGCATCTACAACTTCACCATTTTAAGGGATCTCATTCTTCATAAGAATCTTTGAATTTTCTTAGAAATGGACACAATTACCGAATGTGTTACCATACATTAGTTGCCGAATTTTGTAAAAGGATTATCTGTCCTTCCTGGCGAAAATTAAGCTCCTTTTATCTGCCTCATTGGGCAGTTAATGTCTCCTATCTTTGGTGCTCTTTATTCTTCGCAAGAAAAAAAACCATATAAACACCAGAAATCATCCTCATTACTTAACATTCAAGGCTGAGTTGTCTCTCTGTCCCAAGGCACAAATTAATTACCTCTTGTGAACAGAAAAATGAAGAGGACGCTTATTTCCCTACGCTCTACAAAACTTGACATTTTGTGAAGGGTATGTGCAATACTGATGAACCACGGATCTGAAAACAAAATTTATGTCCTTAAAAACGGAGATGACAAGCTTAGATCACACACACACACACACACACAAAAATCATCAAGCCTCGTACAACTGATTTAGTTGACAAAGACACGCAGGTCTCAATCAGTGACGAACACCCCCCATACTCCTTGTGTAAAAAGGTTTAATGCCATCTCCCATGTTGGCATCAACATCCTGGAAGATTAAGCGAAGTTTTTTATTATCTGCTTGTGCTCGAACAAGATCATAAATATATAATGCTTCAAGCTACGCAGGCAGCCTTGGTAACTTTAGTTAGGGAGTTCTATTAACTCCTGCAAAACCCACTCCAGCCTCCAGACCTGCCCCTCGCCAGCACAATCTCCCACAAGCCGCATCCACGCGTGGCTACCAGCCGCAGCTCCTGCGCGCCCCGCGGGGCAGCC